ACTTAGGTTTAAGGGTGGTCCGTAAATACTCACCTAGGATGTCTGCTTAGGGTTTTAGAAGAATACTACGACATAGTAAGGCTGAGAGAAGTTTTGGAGACGGCTGGGAAAGAACATAGAGCAAACAGAGGATTCGCCAGAGAAGTGAGACGGACGTCGGTGTAAGGTAAGTTCTATCCGTACTCTCTCCCTTAGGCTTCATGTTCTTTGCATTGCTAAATAATTCTAAGATTGATTTAATCAATAAAAACGTTATCTGTTTATGCTAAAACTTGGATTATCACAGTATGTGTGCTTGCTTGCAAAACCTGTTAAAAAGGGTTATTTACTTGTTTAATTCTCTGTTTAAACCTATGCATGGAATGTATTAAAGACTTAAACATGGACTGGGAAGTTACTGGGATTGAGTTACAACTTCTGGGAACTATAGCATAGGGCAGAGAAGTTGCAGAAGGGTTCTGAAGAAGAGGGAAGATGAAGAGACGAGACAGAGAGGGAGAGAGCCGGCTCTCCCTTGGAGAGAGCCGGCTCCCTTTGATTTAGAGGCAGCTCCCAAGTGTGGGAGCAGGCTCCAAGGCCTAAAGGAGGCGGCTCCATTTTTTAGAGACGTCTCCTTGATGAGTTTTTTATTTTTTCTTCGTTTCCAGTCAGTTTTTGCATACAGTGGTTGATTCTGGAGTTTCCAGTTGAGTTCAGGATTTAATGTGAAAGGTCTAATTGATGTATATGGTTAAGGCTCCAGACGTGGTGTTAATTAATTCTATGTGCTTAGAATAGTTTGGACTGTAAGGAATTAATCAGACAGTTTCACTGTGTTTAAAAAATTAGAAAGCTAGTAATGTTTAACTCTCTCTGAATTAGTAATCTTTTGAGACGAGTGATATAATTGTAACATATTTAACTGTATATCATGATCATGTATCTGAATTATAACTGTTCTGAATAAGTTGGTGTTGAATAATATTAAGAGTTAAATCAACTTAGCATTACCGGATTTTGGGGAACACTATAGATTAAGTATGTCTATATGCATACTGTAATTCTGTTTTGATGTTTTCATGATTACAGTTAGTATCAATTGTTGGATGTATGAACTTAGTTGATATTTACTTTAATGTCTGTAATATCAACTGCTGGCTGTTGAACGCTATTAAAATTAAACTTAATAGTATACCGGATTTTATGGAGCTGTATGTACTGAACATGTTTATGTATATGCTTTTACTCTACTTATCGATGCTTACATTACTACTGTTGGTATCAATTGTTGGATGTATGAAATTTAGTTGATAATTACTTTAGTCGTCTGTATTATCAACTGCTGGATGGTTGGAGTATGCATCGGTATGGGACGGTGGCATACTAGGGGTGTATTGGATTCAAAATACCAAAACCTACCTACTCCGGATTTAGGAATGGATTAACCAAAAGTTAAGTCCTATTAAATTGTAGTGTCATGGCAACAACTAGTTGAGCGGCACTACTAGGATACAGGATGGATTTTAAATATATTGTTATGGTACCACGATATGAGCTTGAGTCTCATGATCGATGGTTAGGAAGCGTATATGCATTGAGATGCATAGCTGGATACGATGGTCGGAGGTGTACCCTGTTTAGGCTTAGGTACACATGCCCACTTCGTGTGCGTTTTAGCATGTTACCTCTATTCAGGTTGAGACCAGCCTGTAGTCCAGTGAAAGTCCTTTAGTGTGACTATATATATATTTACAGACTATTAGCTATTGTTGAATTGTTTAGGGTGTACATGCGTATTGGGCCTCTGTTTGGATTGTAGTAGGTATAGAACTTGCGCGTGGGTCTGACCCACTTCTATTTTTCAGGTACACGACAGTTCCAGACTTAGACGTGTTAGGTGCTGAGCAGAGGTTTCCACTCACTCTATCGACGACGTAGGATTTCTTTCCATAACTTATATCAGGATGTTCTTTCAATTGTTTTGATTCAGTTTGTTTTTTATTTTTTATTTTTTATTTGGGGTCCACTAGAGATGGATTCCTGAGTTGTTAAACTTATGGAGTTTTGGATTGTCAGATTTTCAGTATTCAATTTTTTTAAAGGATTTATATTTAGTCTCTTTTAGTTTTTTTAATATTTATTCTTATTTCATTTTGTATTTTGTATTCATTAAAGTATTAATTGTTTGATATTTCCTCGGGTTTGGGCCTGGGCCTGATCAACCCGTGTCTCGGATCCGAGGGGTATCACAGTAACGCACAAACAACAAATTGCAAAGAATCAGTGAATTGATTGAGTTTTCAAAAAGGAAGGTCCTAAAAGGGTTCCGTGAAAATCTCTCTGTATAAAATAAATATGGGCAAAAGACCCCAATAAAAGACAAGTTGTTCTTAGCAATATTATGTTTATTCTTTCTTCTGAATATTTTTTAGTATTTAACAATTTTTCATTGTTCATGATTGAGTGTTCGAGCATTGAAATTCTTAGATTGAACCTCAGTGTTTGGTCCGAAATTTTATCCACTTACACTTTGGCGCAACTTCACCAAAGAGGGTGGTGCTCCTGTTATGCATGGTCCTGTATTTATCGAAGAACCGTCTAGTATGTTAATTGTTCAAATTTGTGTCATTGTCCATGATGATTGAACATGGAATTCTGAATCTACATAGTAGGTTATTCCAGATGAACTTTCTTACCTGTACATTTGTTTCACTTACATACGCCTTTGCTTCCACCCAATTGGTGAAGTAATCGATTGCTAACAAGACGAACTTCTTCTGGGATACAGCTGTGGGCAGAGGACTTACTACGTCCATTCCCAATTGAGCGAACGACCATGGGCTACCCCTAAGGCTGATCATCCGAACCCGATCACTAAAGTTAATCCTAAAGGCAAATCATCCGTAGTCGATCACTAAAGTTGATCCCGAAGGCTAATAATCCAAACCCGATCACCAAAGCTAATCTCAAAGGCTAATAATTCGAAGCCAATTACTAAAGCTGATCTTGAATGTTGGTCTTGAAAACTGATCATCTGAAGCCGATCCCGAAGGCTGATCATCTGAAACCGATCACTAAAGTTGATCTTGAAGGCTGATCATCCAAAGGTGATCCCGAAGGCTGATCATCCGAAGTCGATTACTGAAGCTAATCTCGAAGGCTGATAATCCGAAGTCGATCACTAAAGCTAATCTCGAAGGCTGATAATCCCAAGCCGATCACTAAAGCTGATCCCAAAAGCTGATAATCCAAACCCGATCACTAAAGCTGATCCTGAAGACTGATCATTTGAAGTCGATCATTAAAACTGGTCATCCGAAGCCGATCACTAAAGCTGATCTCGAAGGTTGATCTTCCAAAGGTGATCACTGAAAATCATTTAAAGCTGATCATTGAAGCTAATCACAAAGGTTGATTATCTAAAGCTAATCACGAAGGGTGATCATCCGAAGCTGATCACCAAATAAAATCACCATGTTGATCACTAAAAATGGTCATCAAGGTTATTCACCATCATTATTCATTAAGGCTGATCATTTAAGCTAATTGTCAAAGTCGATCACTATCAACCCGAGAAGATCATGAAGACTCAACACCAACCACCTTAACAAAATAAGGGCTCAACATAAGGCACCACCTCAACACAAAGAGGCAACTCAATGATAATAGAAGTTATACTAGCAACCTTTAAAGACCTTGGTTTTGGGTCCTTTATAAACGCCAAAAAGATTGATATGAATTGTCGTTATTAAAGAATAATGTCCCGTCCTTTCAAGTGACATGACCATTAGTTCAATACAATGAATCCATACAATTCAAAGCACCAGTTACGATTAATTCACTCCAATTATGATCGTTACATCAAACTAAAAGGAATTGGGGGCAAAGTGTAGAGGGAAATTTTCCCACCAATCATAAAGCTCTACGCGTACGCAACTATGTAAAGAAGCAAACCCAAATAACAATGCCAGAAGATAAGGGCCCGAACCAAGAGACCAGCCTGAAGGCCCAAGGAAAGCCCCATACGCCAAGGAAGCCCAAAAGTAACTCGCAACCCTATACGAAGTCTTTACTAACAGAACTATAAGTAACACACACAGTTATAAGTAATGCACGAATAACAAATTGCAAAGAATCAGGTAATTGATTGAGTTTTCAAAAAGGAAGGTCCTTAAAAAGGTTACATGAAAATCTCGCTACATAATATAACTATGGGCAAAAGACCCAAATAAAAGACAAGTTGTTCTCAGCAATATTATGTTTGTTTTTTTCTTTTGAATATTTTTGAGTATTTATCAATTTTGTATTGTTCATGATTGAGTGTTCCAACATTGAAATTCTTAGATTGAACCCCAGTGTTTGATCCAAAATTTTAGGCACCTACACCCTAAAAAGCACACCTTAGCCCAACAGAATTAAAGGAATGAGAGCTTATTTTCAATCAAGCACAAGTTGAACTCGATAATAATCAATTTTAATAAATGTTTTATTAATCATGTCTAAGTGAATGTTATGAATGAGTGAAACAAGTGAACAATATACAGAAAAATGACATTTATGATTTCACTAAAGCATAAAAATTTTACTATATTCCTCTCACAATAAGTGTCAATCTATTTTATTTTTATCAATTTAACCTTCTTATATTAAACTTATAAAAACCAAATTATCACATTTTGTAAACCTATTATGAGTAGAGTTAATAATTCATTCACTATTAATAAAATAAAAATTTATTATCTTAAAAAATTAAAATTTGAAAAAAGTACAATTAAAATAAGATGAAGGGAGTATTAGACTATAAGATCAAGGTTAAAAGAAAATAAAAATAAATAAAGGAAGAAACTGTAAATTTTCATCTACAATCCCACATCAAGAGAGCGCGTAGAGAATTCCTAAAAGAAATGTCCATTCCCCATATGGACCCCACCATTCCATTGTTTACCTTCAAAATGCAAATGGATTGAGGGTAGTACGACCCATTTGATGATTCCCAGATGCATGGTCTGTTGAATACGCAGAGTTGTATGGTATCAGAGGAGTGGAAAGGAGTGGGGCATCTTTTTAGCATTGCGGTGCTGCTACGGCTCTGTTGCTTTTAAGTAGTTGCCGGGCCAAACCCCTTACAACTCTATACAAACTACTAGTAAATAATATTATACAAATATATATGTGTGTGTGTGTATATATATATATGTATATGTAAAAAATAAAATAAAAAACCAAAATAATTAATGAAATAAGAACATTATTATGGTGTCCGTTCTTCCTTATCTCCTCCGGTTCCACCTTCTGCTGTTCCTCTCTTGGAGCTCGCGCCTCATCACGAGCTCTTCCCATTATTTTCTCTGAGAAAACAAAAAAGAAAAGTGAGAGAGAAAGTGTTCCCAAAAAACCAAGCAAATCAACAACCAACTCCGTTCCAGATCTTTACACTTAAATAGATTGAGATCGTCACAAGTTGTGGAACAACACATGGTCACGAGAGATTGATTCGAATTTCTGCCGAAAACCATCCCTACTACAATGAAGCGAGAGCGTGAAGGTCATCATCATGATAAAGGACAGACTTATCCTTCTTCTTCAATGGCGGCGGCCGGAAAGCAAAAGCTGTGGGAGGAAGACTCCGCCGGCGGAATGGATGAGCTCCTCGCCGTCTTGGGTTACAAGGTCCGGTCGTCCGACATGGCCGATGTTGCCCAGAAGCTCGAGCAGCTTGAGATGGTCATGTCTCAAGAAGATGGAATCTCACATCTTTCGTGCGATACGGTTCACTACAATCCTTCTGATCTATCTGGTTGGGTTCAGAGCATGTTGTCTGAGTTCAACACTTCACCGCTCTGCAACTTCGATGCTATTCAGAGCCAGAACTCCACCGTCGATGACGCTATGTTGATACCAGGTGAGTCCTCAACGAATATCAATGGTTTCGATTACTATAGCAATTCTGGGCAGTTGGAGAACCAGAGTAGGATTTTCGAGGATAATTCCGAGTATGACCTCAGAGCAATCCCTGGAGGTGCCATATTGAAGAATCGGGAAGCGCCGGGATTAGAGAGAGAGAGTGGAATCAAACGGTTGAAATCGTCGATTGGATCCGAGTGTGCTCTGGCGCCTGTACAACCGGTTCCCGAAATTGGAGCTGTCGCGGCGGAGCCACCGCGGCCGGTGGTGCTCGTCGATTCGCAAGAGACCGGAATACGACTCGTCCACAGCTTGATGGCCTGCGCCGAGGCGGTCCAAGAAGACAATCTCAAGCTCGCCGACGCGTTGGTGAAGCACATAGGGTTGTTGGCGGTGTCGCAAGCCGGTGCGATGAGAAAGGTTGCCAACTACTTCGCTCAAGCCCTAGCTCGGAGAATCTACAAAATCTACCCTCAGACTTCAGTCGACAACTCTTACTCAGATATGCTTCAGATGCACTTTTACGAGACTTGTCCATACCTCAAATTCGCTCACTTCACAGCCAATCAAGCGATTCTCGAAGCATTTGCAGGTGCCAATAGGGTTCACGTCATCGATTTCAGCTTGAAACAGGGGATGCAGTGGCCGGCGCTGATGCAAGCGCTCGCATTACGTCCCGGTGGTCCTCCGGCGTTTCGTCTCACCGGAATTGGCCCGCCGCAGCCGGACAACACCGACGCTCTGCGGCAGGTGGGTTGGAAGCTCGCCCAATTGGCCGAAACTATCGGTGTAGAGTTCGAATTCCGGGGATTCGTGACGAACAGTTTGGCGGATCTTGACGCGGCGATGCTGGATATCCGGCCGAGTGAGGTGGAGGCGGTGGCCGTGAACTCGGTGTTCGAGCTCCACCGCCTCCTGGCTAGGCCGGGTGCGATCGATAAGGTTCTTTCATCGATCAAGGCGGTGAAGCCCAAGATCGTCACCATAGTTGAGCAAGAAGCGAATCACAACGAACCGGTTTTTGTGAACCGGTTCAACGAGGCTTTGCATTACTACTCCACCATGTTCGACTCGCTGGAAGGGTCCGGGTTGACTCAGCCCAACACTCACGACGACTTGGCGATGTCGGAGCTTTATCTGGGGCGGCAGATTTGTAACGTGGTGGCATGTGAAGGAACGGACCGAGTGGAGCGACACGAAACGCTGACTCAGTGGCGTGCCCGGATGAGTTCGTCCGGTTTCGACCCGGCTCATCTCGGGTCCAACGCGTTCAAGCAAGCTAGTATGTTGTTGGCTTTGTTTGCAGGTGGGGATGGGTACCGGGTCGAAGAAAACAACGGGTGTCTGATGCTGGGTTGGCACACCCGTCCACTCATTGCCACCTCAGCCTGGAAACTCGGCACCGGCGAGTAGCAATGAGTCAACTCGGTTTACCTAAATTTTGGTCAAAGGATCAAACCAACTCAGCAACCTTGGACTGCCAACTCATGGAATGCGTTGCTGAGTTGGGGTGTTTTGAGGGACAGGTGAAAGAGACAGACCACAACCAGTCAAATTCTGTCTTTTTACATTTTACCTCCTCTTGTCAGCGCTTTTGATTATTAGTATGTGTTTTTTTGCCCCTTATCTTTAGTTTCTCATGTTCATGTACCTTCTTCTGTTTAATTTTTTTATTATCTTTTACTTTTGTTATGAGCGTGGTCAATGCCAATGTAATGTATTCATATGTGACTCTTTTAATAAAATAGTGAGCATGGTTTTTGATCCATTGGTAAAAACCCTAACCTTTGCAAATTTTTACAAATGGCTTGTAAAACCTTAAAAGTAATAATATATACAGAAGACCATGTGAAATAAATGGAGTATATTGGTCATGATTTGAAGATGACGTTGTACAAATGTGATCATTTACTAATGTGAGCCGCCTTAATGTGGTTGAAGAGCATGTTAGCAGAGGTCGATTTAATGTGGTTGAAGAGCATGGTAGTAGAGGTCGGTTATGATGGCTTTACAAGTATGAGCGATTATAACGTGGTGGTTCCGTGAAATTGGATTGTGGAGTAAGGAGTATTTACCTAATATGGATGGCTCAAATTGTTGAAGATCTATATTCTAATAATTAGGTCTACGTGTGAAGAAATGTGAAAGGAGGTGGATGAAATGGATAAGCATTGGAGGGAATGATTTGATGTTGACACTTATATCTCTTTCACTGTGTTGGAGGAAGAAAGCATCTACTTAACTTACTCTATATAACCCCCCACATTATGCCGAATAGGCATAGAAAAACCTAATCCCAAACACATACGGTACTCTTTGTTTGTACAAAAAGTAATTAAATTGATAGAATTACAATTTATCCAAAATCATTTTAAAGGGTAGGTTGGGCTACACGTATGGAGGCACTCATAAAACTGGAGATGGTCTTATAACCTAAAATATACACCTTTATTCATCTTTGAACTTACATAGAGAACATTCATGTGCACATATAATAATGAACTTAAGTCCTTTTGGAATTATGATAATAAACTTTAGTAAATTTTTATTTATTTATTTATTTTCTTTTCCAAAGTTAAAAGCAAATTCTAACGCTCATTATTCATAATATGCTTTCAAACTCACAGTTATCCTTTGAAAAAGAGAGATCATAATATATTTGAGTGATTTATATTTTCGAAGAATTAAAACATAAAATGATTGCATTACTCTTAAAATAAAGTATGATTAACGCTTCTTTTTTTCTTTTTTTTTCTTTACTTAGAAAGGGCCTTAAATGCAGAACTTTTTCATCTTTGAATGGAACCAAGTTAGATAACATTTTGGCTATCTAAAAAATGATGTCTAAACTTCTGAATTTAGTCATTCCATTTAGAAAGAATGAGAGTATGGTGAACTAGTTTTCTTGACAACACCATTGAAGATAATAAACCTCTAATATTAAAACGAGATGTGAACTTTGAGTAGACGATTCAAATTCAATGAATGTGCAAATTGTAGATGAAGCATCATTTTCCATCCCAGTTACACATTTGTCCAACAAAGTTAATATTTTTTTGGCTGAAATTGAACAAACAATCAACTTTACATTTAATCGTATGTATTTTAATTTCATACACTGGGGACCAAAGATCATTTTCCAAGTAGTTAATTTCTTAGAAGAAAAAACATAAACAACTGAACAAGCTTCCCTTTTAAACTTAATTATTTGAAAGGAAAAATGTCTGAATTTCTGCCAAAATTATCATAATTCATACAACATAAATTAACCAACCATTAACAAATCCATAAACTGTGAGGCCAAGGACAGAACCAGGATATTGAGTAAGAGCCTAAGAGGGGATAAAAGTGAATTTGTTTTATAATTTTAGGGGGGCAATGGTAAAATTTCAAAGGTATATAATTGAAAATAAGAAAAATTACCACTACTTAATGCTATAAAAAAAATTAAAAATTAGAGGGGGCAATTGCCCCTCCCTTCCCCCTCCTTCCTCAGTAGATTCATACATGCGTTAGACCAAAGACCTTGTAACCTGATGGTACTTTATCACCTTTCAAAATATAAGATGAGGATTTGAATTCATGTAAGGACAAAAGTGAGTGTATGATTGTGTGAGTGTGTTTCCTGTCTTGAGATTAAAGGTCTTGTAGCCTAATGATACTTCTTCACCTTCCAAAAAAGAAGGTCTAGGATTCGAATTCCCATTGGAGCAAAAGTGAAAGTGTGACTGCGTTTTTTTGTAAAAATAAATGTGTGAGCGTATTTCTTATCAATGAAAAAAAAAATAATAATAAAAAAATAAATTTCTATAAACCGTGAGCGTTACATGGGTGTTGCTGGACCATGGGACAATGAATTGATGAGCCCATTCCCTTCCATGTGCACCATGTTCCCCAATTCTTACTCTCTCTCCCAAAAATCAACCATAACTTGGAAAGCATTGTTCCCATTTGGCTAATTCCAATTACTGGTATAAATCAGGGGTCCCCAAACTTGAAGGACATGTATCCTTTGCTTAGTGTACTTAGGGCAAGTTAGGGTTTGGCAAAAGAGAAGAGAGGGAATGGGTGGTGGGCTCAATTTGAGTGGGAATTGTTTGTTGCTTATCCCAAACAACACCCACATGTCTTTACACGTGATTTTGGACACAGGGGTCCCAATCCATGAAAGGTTGGTGTAAGCCCAAAAGGAAAATTTACCCTCATGGGATGGGTTTTCTCACTCTTTTACAGGGCATGAAATAATCATTGTTGTTACTTTTTTTCTGGGTAAGTGACATAAAGTTATTTAAGGTGCTCAACTTTTGGTTGGAGCAATTGACAACCCACCATATTTTGTTACTCAAGTACACATGCTGTTAAATTCCTATGGAATTCTATTGAACAAGATATAGTAGGGTTTCTAATATGATGGCTGTAAAATCTTTTGATTGCAACCCCACAAACATACCATGTGGAATGAGCAATGCAATCACTTCAGTTATTGCTTTGTCCAAGTTTTTTCTTTTTTTCTTTTTTCTTTTGGTAAGGGGATGAAATACGGGCACACCCGCTCGAGAAGTTGAGCGCTCTACCAACTAGGCCATTGGTAATGCCCAACTTTAGCCTAATTGTACTTCCTCAAAAGGTGAGGATTTAAGTCTGGGACAAGTGTTTGTATGTGAGTGGTAAAAAAAATCAAGGATTCAACTGCTTATTTGGGCCAGAATAGTGACTGAATCTTAGGCTGGGCTGAAACTGTATGCATGCATATTGATAGCATACTGGCATTGTACTTTCCCTACACCTGGTCTGGCCTGACCTTGGGCATTGTGGCCCAGTATAACTGCGAGTTGAGTCCGATACCCACAAAAATTTGAATAATCAAATAGTAAACTGCTAATCACATGTTTTAAGACTTTACTTTTCTTTGTTCCATTTTTTTTTGGAAGTATTTTCCATGTAAATAAGAAAATTGTTAAGGCGAGAGTTTAGGTGTAACAAAGGGGAACTTGTCCCACATCGAATTCGGATAGGAGAGTGATTGGGTACATATGGGCTGGGTGTTAGCCCCACCTAATAGCTTAGGATTATAGGTCAGATCCCGAAATACCTACCCGATGTTACGCTGTTAATCGACATTTAATCATGAAATATGTGGTTGTATAGGCTCAAATTCAGGCCAGCCTGGACGAAGATAGGCCCAAATTTAATACTTGATAGGCCCGAATGACTTATATATCGTGCCCAAGCTGGGCTTAGAATTTGGGACATATATATATATATATATATATATATATATCATCCATTGAAAAATGTAAAATAATTTGTACAAAAAATTCAATTAAAGTTACATCAAAATTTATGTAAAAGACAAAAATAAAATAAAACTAAAGATGAAAATAGAAACAAAATTTAAAATTTTAGGATGATCAATTCTTATTTTCAATTCAAAATTTTAACAAAATTCAAAACTCTATTTTGAACTTAAGAGCGAGTGTTAATCTTATTCCATATTCAGTCAATTTTTTTATATATATTTTTCTAATTAAAATAATTATAGTATGCTAATTACCGGTACTATATCTCTAATTTTATAACAGGTATCAATTTATTTAATCAATAAGAAAACACATAAAACTAATTGCAATTAAACTTAAAAATCCCTATTCATAAGATTTTTTAAAATTTCTCAGAGTTGTTTTTAAAATTCACCAAATATCCCATACACAATCAAAACTTGCAGAATCAACCATAACAGAATTTTAATTCATAAAAAAAAAAAAAAAAGACTTATTTATAATTATATTATTATTAAAAGTGTATAATCTATATATATTATATATTATTAATATTTAATTAAATAATATTTAAAAAATTTAAATAATGTAAACAGCCCTTTATTTCTTCCCTTTTTGAACCCATCTCCGGTGAAGGCAACGCTTCCCTCTCTCTCTATGCAAATAAATCGACATTGAACTTGCGTAAGTGGCATCATTTTTTCTAATCATGTTCCTCATTTATCCGTTCTTACTCTCTCTTCATGTTGTTATTTCTATTTTATTCATTTCATGATGTTTTTGTAAACCCATTTTTTCAAGCTTTTGATTCATTCTCTGTTTATGGTTTTTAATTTTTGATTGCTGGTTAGCTGTTAATTTCTGATTCCACGGCTTAGTTTCATCCCATCCAATACCTAAAGAAATCAAGTATGACGACCTCATATTCTGATTTGAATTTGATTAGAGAACATTTAAATTACACAAATGCATTCCAATTGTTTGTGATTGATCAAATAGTAATCATTATGTTGAGTTGCAAATTGTGAAGTGAATATTTACTCTTGATTTCACCGATTTATAGATTGAATATCTTCTTCTTTTTTCTTTTTTTTTTTTTCATATTTATTTATTATTATTTTTTTTTTTTGGTGAATTCGTGTAGTTTCTGTTTTTGTATTTTTTTTTTCGGATGAAGAATCTTTAACCTAATTCGGCAGGGTGAGTAGCTATGGAATGAAAAGAACTTGTTCACTGGTTGTGTTGATGTGCCATTAAATGAGAAGAGTATTGAAGAGGCAATTGGAGCAGGCAAGAGAATCAGCAATATATATATATATATATATATATATACCTGTGGAATATTACATTTGCACTGATTTGTGCACAGATGATTGCTATGACGCAACACCGTCGCAAGAAGGTAATTTGTGCAAACATCTAGATGTCTTTGAACACACCATTGTCATACACACATTGGCAATCTTGTTAGCTTTTCTGGTTAGATTATGTTGTGTGTC